GGAAGTGGTGGCCCATGGACCACATGGAGCCCACTGGGGTTGTATGGCTACGGCTACACTGTAGCCTTCTTGAGGAAAAGCTTATGCAAATGAAGCACAGCATGGAATATCACCGTGCTTTATTTGCATAATTAATTAGCAGCTGCTGTTATGCAAGAGGCTTTTGCACAAAAAGGAGCTTTTTCAGGAAGAACAGCTCTTCCACAAGAGGAGTTTTTTGCACAAAAAGGAGCCATCTACACAGCTCCTTCTTGCGCAAAAGGCTCTTGCGCAATAACAGCTGATAATTAATTATGCAAATGAAGTACAGTGATATTCCATGCCATGCTTCATTTGCATAAGGCTTTCCGTAAGAAGGCTACAGTGTAGCTGTAGTCTTTGTGTGGCCCACAAGACATTTTGTTTACCATTGCCCATGCAGAGGGTTGCCAGATTCCTCTGGTTTCCATCCACATAGGGTTTTTTTTCCCTACCACTATTACTAAAGTGACACGCATGTAAAGCCAGAGCCTGCTGATTACATACAACATTGACTGTAAGAGCCATGTGCTCCCTCTGCATCCAATCAAAGTGCTGCTACGGTTCACTAGGCACACCCCACAAGTTCTATGTAGTTAGCAAAACTACCCTATCCTGGGAGGCTGTCTTGTTACGACAATCTTGTGGCCCACTGAAACGAAGGAGGGCCACTCATGTGGCCCACTCACTAGCCTAGGCTGTCCATTGCTCTCCTATATGCTGGGGGAAGGAGTAGATGGTTGGACAGCTGATCTCCCCCTTCTTTGGGGAGACAGAATATCCCTATATGCAGTGCAAGGAGACAGTAGATTAAGCTCCTCAGACCACTGCCTACAGTGTTTTGAATTACATCTCATGCTTATCTTCACATGGGTCTTTTAGTTCACCCACTTCCAGATCTCAGCAGCCTCCAGCGAGGGGATTAAACAGGAATAAGGATAACCCTAACTTTACTCTCCAGTGCACCTGGAGAGGAGGCTCCCCTCTTCCTTTCCCTTCCCTCCCCCCCATTCTGATCTGGCAGCAGTGGGTGTTGTTGGCTTGTGTCCCCCTCCCCTGAAGCCAGCATGCAGGTCAGCGAATACTTACCATATTACAGATGGAGGCGATGTTTCTGACAGTCATTAGTCTAAAGGTTGCAGTGATCCCACACCGCCATCTTTAGAAGGTGAAAAGAGAAACGCTCATGGTCGGAAGATCGCGAGGAGGGGGAGAGGAGGAGGGTCCGAGGTTACGCTGGGAGGGAAGCAGGCGGAAGGGGGGAAAAAAG